CCCCTCTCTCTCCTTCCCTCTCTCTCTGTCTGGTTCTCTCTCTTTTACTGTCATTCGCTCTTCCTCTGAGTCTGATTTTCTCTCCCCTACCCCCTTCACTCTCGGATAAGACCGAGTTATTCAATAAAAATATTCTCCCCTCTCGGGAATCGAAATCAAGTCTCCTGAATGCGACAGCAAAGCGCCTAAGCGCCTCACCACCACACCGGTGTGATATATAATAATTGGTCGCTTTAAAGGACAAGCCGGCTAACCCAGATTTCGGGGGCTTCCAGAAATCTTGCCCTACACCAAAAGTGGACATTCCCCTACCTATAGGAGAAGTTCGGTTTCATTGCTGTGTATATTTGTATTGTTATATATAGAAAACGCTCCATGTCTCTTAAAGAAACTAAACAAGGGGCAAAAACGTTACATCGATTTTCTCGTAATAGCATTTTCCGGGATAGCCCCCTTGTGCTTAAAAGTGACTAATTAAGGAACAACATAACAATATGGAAGTATCATTTCTTGATAAGGGAACAAACAATGAATCTTTACAAATGTCTGTTCAATATCAATACCATCTAGAACACAATATTGCCCACATGGTACTGTGAAGAACCAAATCTTTCTTGAACATAACAGTCGTGCCCGGCTCTAACCGTGTAACTAGTTTCTTGAAAATAAACCAGCAAGCAAAAATTCTGTCTGTTCTGATTTAATAACCCACAATAAAGTCCAAAGCCCTTTTATACTTTGCATTGTGATTTTTATTGACAACCCACAGATTGCCCTCACAAAGATCTTGAAACGAAAAAGTTGATATATTTCTTTGAGTTACACGGTTGTAGCATGACACAAACGATACTTCTTGTGCAAGAAAAAAAAACCCTACTAAAAATACGACAAACTTTAAAAATATTTGTTCAAAAGTGTAAAAGATAGATTCAAAATCATTCGGTGTTGTGAAGAACGTAAACATTTTAAAAAGTGTGTGGTAGGAAAAACATAGACATTAAAAGACGTACGTTTTTTTTTTAAAGAATAGATCTATAAAGGTACATAATAAGTATACTATAACAGTGCTGTGGGGGAACATACACAGTAAAAGACAAAAAAACACAAAAAAACAAAGGGTGCTTTGGAGAACATAAACATTCAAAAGCATACAATGTTGGGAAGCATATTAAACATTGATGAATATTCGGTATTGTAAAAAACATAAACATTTTTTTAAAAAACATACTGTTATGCGAAGAACGATAACACTAAAAACCGCACGGTGTTAGTAAAAACACAAAACATTCAAAACCATAAGACGTTGTGAAGAACATAAAATACAGTGACGGACATGTGGTGTTGTGAAGAACAGAAACATTGATAGATATTCAGTGTTTTGGTTCAACGCCCCTATCAACACTATTAGGTTATTTAAGGGGCGGGACCTCCTAGTTAAACGTCCGTCTCCGATAGGACCGA